GCCTGTGTCAGCCAAATCTACACGGCCAACAGTGCAGGCTTGGGCAAAATCAAACTAAAAGTTCTCACAGCCTGGGCTTATTGTACACCCGCTGATTGCATTTACCTCATGTGCACAGCAAAGTCTGTGCTTCTAGAATGCACTGGACTCACTGTGAGCTCTGAATCTCCTGGGCATATTGGACCCACTGTGTATGAGATGTGTGCAGTAAATCAAGAGCATCTGAAAGAAGTCAATCTGCCATTCATAAGGAGATTAGTGATATGTGTGTAGTGTATATTTGCTGTCTGTGTTGGAAACTTCCATCTTCCTTCCCTACTTGGAAGGCATTAAAGGTGATTGCAATTCCAGAACCTTGCAGTCAAGCTAAAAAAAAAGGAAAAAAAGAAATCATGGGGTTTTTTCCCCATCATGTTTTTGTTGAGTTGTTTCTTGGTTAATTCTCCTGTTCTGAATTTGCTGTCATATAGTTTTGCAATCGTCAGTCTGCTTTCTGCTCCACAATAGGAGCACTGCTACTCCTGGATCTCAAACTGGACACTGCCCAGTGAGAAATGCCTGTACTGTCTTGTGGGGATAATGTGCAGTGCAGATTTTCTGGACACTGAAGTAGCATGTTGCTGGAGACAGTCTCAGAGCTGCAGAGCAGCAAAGAGAAGCCTAATCGGTCATGCCCATCATTATCTGGCAGCAGCTCACTGTGCCACATCTGCCTTTAATCAATAGTGAAACAACTTGGCATGGAGTGGCTAGGCAGAGAAGGCTACGTTTCTGGCTGCTGCTTAGCAAGAGTGAGACTTTCTGTGTAGATTGCAGTGACAAACTGCAGGCTACCTTACAACACTCATCTCAGGTTAACATTGCAGGCTGTGTTTTGCACAATATGATTAAGAGGAAAAAAAATTACAAAAGTCTGGAAAACAGCGCTATAATCAACAACTGAAAGGTACTTTATATTGACATTTAGTGAGTGATGCCACCAGAAAGGCAAGCACATCTTTTTATTCTCTTCTTACTGCATCTGTAGTGACAATGTGGCTTCACACTTATTTTTACTATACTATAAGCAATGGTGTCTGAATATTTTTAGGTACAGGGGTAGCATATTCTACAAATAATCCAGAACGTTTAATGAATATTCTGAGATGATTAGTGAAATATTTTGTATTCATTTTATAGGCCCCTATTTTTATGGCTTTGTTCATGTATTTCTTTAAGCTTACAGTTAGGGTGGTTTCCTTATATTTTGTGCAACTTTGCATGGACTTCTAAAAATATTTATAAGAATGTCAAAGAATAGTTCATAAATAATATGAAATACCATATTTTATGTCTGTATACTTCATTTTAACCTATGAGACACATGATTTTTCACTGAACTTTTGTTTCGAAAATTTCTTTATTATATCAATTTCATTTAGGAAAATCTGTGTTTATTTTCCAAAGAAGTGCAAATACTGAAACTTTATTGCCCATAACAGTGCAAAAGAGAAAACACTTAACGTGGAACAATAAAGAGGAAGCTGAATATAAATAGTGCAGTGCTATAACTTCATGAAGAAAATTCAAGATCATATGCATTCTCAAAAAGTCCAAGGGAAAAAAAAAGTTATCTTTGCATTTTACAATCGTTCCAGGCTTTCTGCCTGGTCATTCTCCTGTTTTGGAGAAAACATGATAGATACCCACAGCTGAATCTGAAAGTTCAAAGGTGAGCTCTCAAAAGCTGGTTTTCAGGATCAAAGTCTGGGTGTTGGTCTAAAAGGTGAAGTAGCAGAATTTATGTGAACTGTTGGGAACAGCAGTTCACATCAATTCAAGAATTCAAGAATTCAAGAAGTACTTCAGATTGTTGACATATAGCAGACAAGGACTCTGTTTCACTGTGCTTTTACATTAAGTAATCTCTACAGTCCCACAGCTTTTCCTTTTTGAGAGTCTTCTATCCCTCTAAAGACTACTTAATCAGCTGCCAGATTTCCCAGCACCGACTGGCCTTGTTTGCCCCTACCTGGGTCACTGCAGAATTCATTTTTCATAGTCCACAGGACAATCTGACCAAACTTCCTGGCTTTTTTCCTGCCAGGAGGTCTCTAAACAGCTCCTTTTCCCTTATTTTCCCTTGTCTGAGAGATTAAGAGCCTTATGTTTCTGTTTCAGGTGTAAAGGTAGTGTGAACTGGATCAGGAGTGTGTTTTACTTGGTTTAGTTTTTTTTTTTTTTCCAGGGAGATATTTTCCCTTCAGATTTGAGATGCCTTCCAGACAAAGCTGGTTCCCATTAGTAAGAGACTGAAGAGGTGGCAAGTCAGTTTTCACTGTGGCCCTTAATGGTTTCAATTAAGTACTGGGCAGGGGCACAATGGTTTTGCCTAAGTACAGTGCTGAGTGAGTGAGCGTGTTTTAGAGGCTGCTGACCCAGTAGATAGGGAGGAATGGCATGCAGCCTGCGTGCTTGACCAAGTTCCATTCAAACATGGGCTTCCAGGAACTTGGGAGGCAAGGAAATTGTAAGGACTGTATTGACTCAAGTTAGTAATTGGTGAAACTGCCTATAAATGATTGCACTGACATGTATGTTCTTGAATTTAATTTTTTATCTCCTGAAAGCAAGCATAAAGTGAATTGTAACTAATGTATTTTTACAATGCACGTGCAGAAGTTCAGGGGCTAACATACACTCAGATGTTTGCTTCATTGGTACTTTGTCTATGTGCTTTCATATGCATAAAACTTAGGTTATGAAATATTTCCTGTCAGGGAGGTTACCACTAGCTAAAACATTGTGCATTGTGCCAGGTGAGATGTCTTTGATGAAGTGCTGAGAGCATGGCGTATCCAGTGCCTGCACACATTGCACTCCATAAAATCCTGTAAAGTCTGTGACCTCAGGCAAAGCACGAGATAGATCAGGCAGCAAAATAATTTGGATGGTTTTCACAAAATATTTGATATCTTTGATCACTCTTGGTTTTGAGCCCATTTCAACTCCTTACTCTTGATCAGGCACTCCAGGGGTCCTAAACCTTAGCCTGCTGGATCATGCTGCCACTGGTGGTTTTGCACACATTTCTGATCTGTGGGGTTGGGAGGATGCTGGAGGTCCTTGCTTCCTGAACTTTCATTTCTCTGAAGGGGAAGAAGAGCTTCATAACTTTTTTCTAGCTTCAAATGATTGAACTTAGAAGTGGTGCTCACTTTACATGATGATGCACTCTTACTATAAAAAACCTGTAGGATGATTGTTATCAGCAATGAAAAATTACTGGCAGCCTGATCTGAGATGGTGTCTGGTGTTTGAACAGGAAGATAAACCTGGTAAGAAAGAATCAGAGGATACGCAGGGAGAGCTAGTCAATTTGGTGTGATATAAAGCACAGGGGAAAAAGCTCAGTAGTGAAAATAGAGGCTTCATCAAAGAGATAATTCTGCCAAGTATACTTTTGAATTTCTTAGATATGAACCGACATGGTAAGCTGTCGGATTAAGCTATCCAATGTGGCTCTGTGGCTACAAGTCATTTGAACGGTAAATTCAACATCAGCTTAACTGCCCCACCTCCTCAACAGATTAACTCTGAAATAGGAACTTTTTAGAGAAGGTTACACTAATAGCTGGGGTCTCTCCCACAGTGTTGATGCTGGGAGCAAACACACCAATATTTTTGTACAAGACCAAGATAACCTTTTCCTGCCAGCATCTGTGTACAACCTTCTCATGAATGAATACATACTTGACTGGAATGAGAATAAATATTCATCCCTGAAAGATTCTAAAATGTCAACAAATTTGAATTTTGCTCCACATATGTTACTTCACAAATAAAAAAATTCTAAGGAGCAATAGGTTTCAGCTGAGTAGGGCTATATTTTTATGGTACCAGTTAAATTTATTAATCTCTAATTCTGGATTCTTGATTTATTTTTTTTTTTTTTCAGTCACAGATTAGCCAGTTTGGAGGAGCTAAAAAACCCAGTCATTCACCTATTTTTAGAACCCAACTTTTCCTACAATACTTCTGGGCAGGATTTCTCACTTCCAGTTTCTGTCCAGATGTTAAATATTTGGAGCAACTGGAAGAAAAGCTGACTTCATGGTATTTCCATCAGGTTCCACTAGTGGAACAACTGGAAACCTCACGAGGAAAGCCCTTCTCTAAGTGTTCAGATTAGTTTTGAAGACTCAAGAGCTTAGGAAAGTTTGGATAAGTTTTGAGTAAGCATCAAAATATTTGGATGCTTATCAGAACTGAAACCAGAGTAAACAGTATGAAGTTCATTCATCATTCTTTGTAAAAACTGCACAAGTGGTAACAAAATTGTAGAATCACATAGAAATAGTAATAATTGCATGTTAATCACAATCAATTAACTTTTTCCCATTTCATAAAAAATAATATACTTATGCAGAATGGAAATCAGATACTAAACACAAGTGCAACATTAAAAAAAGGATTCAAAGAGCAGAGTTGTAGTTCTGTGGTGAAAACAGTAAACATACAGATGTATAAAACCTTTCTAACTTTTAAGAGAATGAAAGAAAAAATGAGCTAGAACCATGTTTGTGATTAACTAGCTGCCCACTACTCTTCTGAAACTTCTCACTGTGTTCAGGCTGAAACCACAGGAGTTCCAGACCAATGTTTTAGGATAATTCTGTAAAGTATTGCTTTGAAGATACGAGAAAAAGTACTTGCAATTCCAGGTTTAAATAAACTATACAAAAAAACACCCCAACAATATTGGTTCAAAACTATGTAAAAATTTGACCTGCCTTTATAATTTAAATTCCATTTCCTGTACATATGCATCATTATAAATTACAGAAGTGCATATACTGTCTGTTCCAGAAGACGAGAATGAAATGAGACAGTTTCTTGAGCCTGAAGCACAGGTTGGAGTGATAAAGGTAATGCTTTGTCTGGCAGCCTTCAGCACCCCAAACTGAACAATTAGGAATGCTTTAAAAGCTGAACTAAATAGCACAGACTCTGGTGTGAATTCAGAGTAATAATTAAACCCATGTTTTGGGCTCCCAGGGCTCATTAAGTATGAGAGCAATTCATTAAAATAAAAAGGTACTGATCAGAGAAAAAAAATCCAAGCCCTGAACTTTTGGAAGTACATTTTTAATTACCCTCATCATAATATCTGAAAGGTTGATTACACAGTATACTTAAGCGAATACATGGATTTACCGTAATTTTCCAAATAGAAAACTGACAGAGAGACGGATTAAGAGCAAAATTACAGAAAAGTACCCACATACTAAGTGTCCAGACTAAAAATGCTAGGATATTATTTTCCCTTAAGATTTCTGTGATATATTTATAACACTTCTGAATTTTTTAGTTGTATTCCTGTTGAGCTCACGTTTTCTCATAGTAAAAATTAATAGGGAAGTGTAAATACAGCAGTTAGTAATTATTTTTTTCCAATCTAAAATACTTTATGGCAGCGGTAGGAACCAGTTTTTCATAGCTTCCTTAAAATAGTGTTTGTCTGCCTTCAACTCCTTTCCCAGGCATCGGTCTCCTTTTCTCGCTGGTTGCAGGTATTGCGCACAGTGAAGAGGCATATCAAATTCTAAAAATAACTGTGATTCTTGCCGGTGTATGTATAGACTTCCGTCAGTGAACAGAGCTGGAACCTTGAGGAGGGTGTGATGAGAACCAAAAGGTTATATAACAATATATAATGTTATCTGGCTACTTCCTAACCATGTCCAGCTCACGGAGCTCCACTTGAAACTGGATCACCTACCTCCAGAACCTCCAGTTAAGCCACCATATTTTATTCCAAGTTGACCTGATGCAGTAACAACATCCTGCAACTAAAGAAGAGAAAGCTGTGAGGGAAAACTAATCTGAAACAGATTATAATTTATTTACTCAAAGGAATACTGCTAGATGAGCCAAAATGAGTTCAGAATCACTAGGTTAATATGTATTTGCCTCACCAAACATGAACTTTTCCATAAAATGATTTGGAATCCACATCTCTGCAGGCCTCCTTGTGACTTCTTTGTATCTCTCTTTTCCTTTCACAGGCAGAATATAATTGAAAAGAAAGGTAAAAAGCAGTGAAAAAAACCTGAAAAGCAAAAGCACAGTCTCATTAAGAGAATGATACTGGAACAGGAGTATGTTTATGTGATTGTGGCAGATAAGGAGAGTTATCAGTGGTCACTTTCCGCAGACCAGCTGCAAGAACAGGGGAAGGAAGTCAGCAGTGGAGCAACAGACATCAAAGCTTTATAGATTTGATTCAGAATTGTCATAGAAGACCTAGTCTAACACTGAACATGCTCACTTAATTGTGAAAGATGAGTTAGAGGCATATGTTTTTGACTTACTTTATTTCTTTTTCAACACTGGTGTGACTCTCATCATAGAAGCAAGACTGTATCTACTGGTACTGCAATGTGAATGTGCAGTCCCATGAATATCCCATTTAATGAAGTGCAATTAAGACTGTGTTTGTTGGACGTGCTTCTAACTTGTCATACCTCAAGTCACTTAATTTTTCTAAAATATTTAAAATATTTTAAATCCTTTGTGAAAGTTTATGCATTTTCTTCAGTTTTTAGTATATAGTAAGACATAGTAAAACATCCTAAAATACAGTCTCAGGAATTGAATTAATTTAATCTCTTAGTATTACTTCTATGGGGCATGTGTTGGATGGTTAAATCTATACTTTTTTGCTTAATTTAAGAGAGAGTGCATGAGAAAAACAGTTGAAGTTTTATTTCTCCATGATGAATAAATAAGATCTGGAAAATTTTGTGGGGAAGGGGAAAGAAACAAAGAATCTCTACTTCTCTAACTCAAAATTAGGGCTTGACAAGGCACAGGAAAATATGCAAGGAGAAAAGAACATATTTTCCATTTTACTCTGTGCTTTACTTTGGTGCTTCATTCTTACCATTATAAAGTTTTCCTAGCCCCCTTCCCCCTTCTTTCCTTCCTGCCCCTTCTGCCCACACCTTTCCCCCACAAATAGTTGATGGTAAAATTGTTTCAATTTGAGATTTTAAAATAAATGTTGTTCAACTTAACTCTATATTTTTGAAAATTTTAAGTGCTGTTTTTTCACTTCTGTTTGGAAAATATGGACCAGTTCTACCCTCACTAAAGGTGTCTCCTGTACTCTTTTGCTAGGACCTGGAGACTGTTTATTTTACTTCCCTAAGCATTAGGGATATATGGATATATTAGGGACTGTATGGATATAAAACATAATCCTGCCGACTGTACCCCTGACTGCCAGGAGGAGTTTAAATGTAGATATAACTGGCAGCGTAATCCTCCCCGATACCACAACCCTTTCCTCAGGGCTGGGGTTAAAAAGGCACAGGACAGTGTTTACCAGTGAAGCAACTGCAGCAAGAGACAGTAGCTTACCCACAGCAAATCCCAGCCCAAGGGAAGAAATCACTCATTACTGGAGTGAGGAGCAAGCTTTGCCCACAGAGCGGGACACAGGAGTAGAAGACAGATCCCACAGCACAGGAATTGGGGCTGCTTCTGTGTTCCTGTGGCTTGCTTTGTATTTCAGACATAAGGTCTAGGTAATTGTGAGAGTTGCTATTACTTAAATGCTCTAAGTCTTACATTATAACACTTATTAGGGTTACTGTGTTTCTAAGACAAAAGAAATAAGTAAAATCTCTGTTAATAATATTAATTACTGACTACTTATATACACTTAATCTCAGAAATCTATTGCAATAAACAGAGAGAAACCGCTGCAAATAATGTAAATACAGGTACAAGTATAAATATTCAAGATTCACAAAGTTTAAATGTGTTTGAATATCGTTCCCATTTAACTTTCTTATTTTGCTATTTTAAATCATTTTCTTTAGAGGTAGGCAATCATGACAATGCAAAGGGTTAAAGAGCAAATTCCAAAGAAATCCCTTGTATGAAATCTTCTGAACTTAGTTTAATGATATTTTTTGGTAAGCCACAAAGATTAATTGAAAAAATATAGTAATTCTTTTGAAGTTCACCATTTTCATTAGGATGTTGAAACGTCTTCCTGCAGCTAATCTTTGTCTAATCTATTCTGAACATACTTATTTATTTTTTCAAATAGCAAAGGAAATTCAGACAGTTGAAGGTTAGTGCTGCTTATTAATTTCATGACACTGATATTGTCAGTAATTTATTAAGCTAGAGGTATTTGGCAAACGAGTTAGAGTTAATGACTCAGCAGCTTAACTATGTCCCTAAAGCAATGATCTCATATACAGGTTATTTTAAGTCCTAAGTTATAGGAGTCTAGTTTTGAATGACTTGGTTTTACCATCATCACATCATAGCTCACATCTGCCTTGGGATCTTCATTTAAAGTCTCAGCAGAGAAGTGAATGGGACCGTGGTGAGGGCCAATGTCTCTCTTATGGCAGGTCTATACCATTCCACTTACAGACAAGACATGTTAGCTCTATACCGTGGGAAGGCAGCAATGTCTACCCCAAACTCCTTCTATGAAAAGGTCAGCAGCACTGGAATCTCACTTTCAAATACCCGCCTTAGGACATTTAAAGTAGTATGCTGGAAATATTAACGTGTTAGTAGAGTTATTCTGTGTATCATTAAATGAACCCACATTTAGATATTCAGAATGGGTGTTCCTCTGGGTGCTGTCCTTTCTTCTTGCAAAACATGCTTCCTCCCTGTCTCCTCTGCCCTTATTCTTTCATGCCTTTTTGGATGATGATGGAAAAGGAAACAGCACAAAGGCTTCCTAATTATCTTTCTGTCCCCTAAGCATGCAGCGCTCCACCTCCACCTTCTCCTTGCTCAATAATAGGCAACTGGATCCACCCTCTACTGGAATTTCACACAGCATCTTAGCAAATAAGGCATATGTAAACAAAGGAGTGCAAAACCCTAATCACTACTGAGGAAGAAGGGTGAGTATATGAGGTGACAGAAGACAAACATCTATAGGGTGATTAAGAAGATCCAGAAAATTTTGGGAAGTGTTTGTTCCTTTGTGCTTCTTGATGCACAGCATGCATAGGCCCATAGATATGTGTTGCTGTGTTTTTCCCATGGCTTTCCTGCGGAAGTGGAGATGTGCTAGAGGAGTGTGTCTTTTGGGTTCCAGTTCAGTTCTCTCATAATGTGCTATGTAGAAAAGGGAAGGGAAAGACATAAAAGCCTGAAAACATCCTTTAACTAAGTCTAGCTGGTGAGTAAGAGAGGTGAGAAGTTAAGAAGGAAGATGCAGGAAAAATGGTAGAGGCACTGAAAATTAATTAGTAGAAGACTGGATGGATAAACCAAATAGATACTGAAGAGGCATAGGCAGGGCCACATAATGGAGAGAAGAGAAATGGAAATACTGCTAAAGAGCAAAAAAATGGCAAGACACACTATAGTGAGAAGAGGAAAGAGTGGAAGATGACAGAAGGAGGTACAGAAGGAAAACAATACATTAAATTGGAAAACTTAAAAAACTTTAAAAATATGAAATAAACATTAAGTTTATGAAAATTAAAATTATTAGATCAAAAGGAAGTGGATGTGGAAAAGATGATGCAAAAACTTGGTCCTGGAGTTCATACACTGGAAGCAAACATTTTTTAAAATATTTTTCACAATGGAACTGTAAATGCACTTTTCAGAGCACTGCTTTTAAGTATCACACATATTATGTGAGAAAGTGTGTGTAGAGATAATGCCCACTATACTAAATATTATAAGGATGGACAATCCAAATCATTAAAAGCCATGAATTTACAATCATTACATTCTTCCTCCATTTCTCATTCCTTTTTTTTTTTTTTGTGAACTTGAATGCAGACATCCATTAAGCTAGTGAGAAAAATGGAGCTGAATTTGATCTAGCCTGCCTGGAATGGCTCCCAACACTACTTGGTTCAATAGTCAGCAAGACTATTAAATGGGACTTTTTATAGAGTTTCCATAAATAACCAGCTCAGATTCAGAAAAGTCTGAATGCCCCAAATTCATATGAAGTCGGTAAGAAGAGTATCTGTTAAGCTGCTATCCAAATTTTCTCCCTTCACCTTATATCAGAAGAACTTCCTCTATCATTAAAAGCAACCTCTAGACAAAATCTAAGGGGTTTTTTTCTGAGTTATCATAATTAAATAACTTTGTATTATTGACATAGACATTTCAAAAGACAAGAAGAAAAATTATGATGTCTCTAGTGATGGTTATTGAGGACTGTCTCTTGAAACTGTACTATTGTTCTCAATTTCTTTACTCTCAGTCATTTATCTGGTGTATTTGGTTGGTGTGGGTTTTGGTTTTTTGGTTGGTTTTTTCTTTTTTTTTTCCTGGCCGCTGTTACTACTTAAGCTTCTGAAAACACAACTAAAAGACTATAATAGTAACTTAAGACACCATCATCTTAGCTGTAATGTTGGATCTCAGGACAGGTTACTGATTTCAACAAGTACTTATACTGCAATCAGCAGTGGAAATAATTTGAAACTGCTCTGCCTTCACAAGCAGAGCAGATTGCCCCTGAGGTTAAGGGAAAGGTTCCCACTGACTTCAACAGGCTTTGGATTAAGCTGTGAATAAGGATCTGTGCAGGGTAAATACTGGTGACAGAATCTGGGGCTTTGCCAGATAAACACAGAAAGGGAGACAGGGAATTTCAGAATGCTTCATTCCTGGAAGAGATGAGACTTTCTATCCTTTGTTTTTTAGCTCCAATTGTTCCCCATCCAAAAAAAAAGGTCAGGAGGAAAGAAACAGGAGAAAAGACTGAATTTTTCTCTTGCTCTCAAATCTTCAGCAGAATGTGAGTACATTCATAAGAAACCATTCTGTTTTTAAACACTCTTTGCTAACAATCAAAATATAGGAAGGCAGTGTGTTAGAACCCATGGACAATTCTTATAAACAAGGTTTGGGGTTAAATGTCAGAGTGTACACTGCAGAATTGCATTCCCCATCAGCATCTATTTTGTAGTTGTTTGAAAATAGTCTGATGATTAATACTGGGACATCCTCTTCAATACAATATACAACATTACCCCTCCCTCTTATCCAATTTGGGAATATTAAGAGCTAAGGAATACTCCTTTATCGAATGCTCTTTTTAATGAGATTACAGCAAGATATCCCTTTAAAAGCTGTTTTTGTGTGGGGACACAGCAAATATTCCAATTTTTACTGAGCAATGTTTCTCTTAATTTTCCATCGGTTTTCATATTTTTAAATAAGTGAAGTGTTAATGCTTTCTGAATTATACTAGATTTAAAATTTGTTACAAAGCATGGGGGGGGGACACCTTGAAAATAAATAACTTACGTACTAGA